ACTTCGGACGACGCACAGACGCACGAGACCGAATTATAAGTCCTGTTTTCGGACTTCGTCTGAACGGGGACTAATAAAGTTGCCATAGAACACATTTTTTCACTTACAAAAAATAATTTATGCTTAGAAACATAAAAATTAATAATATTTATGTATCAATGGATGATTTTAGGCATGAAAATAGCAGCCATTTCACAGGCACTTTAAATTTCTCACACAAAATTTGTAAGTACTTCCTCTCACTAAATGTTAGTCAGTTTTTCCCTGCCAAATCTTTAGCTAAATTGTTGTTTAGAAAATGTTACTCATATATTCATATAATGATTTATTAGGCATCTTGAGATTAACACAGTTAATGTAATATTATCAAACAGGATTTGACTTATTTCCGTGCAAGCACTGGCTGTATATTTAAACATATTGTGTAAAATGAACATATATACACATAGCGGCCAGTAAAAATGTGGAAAACTGACTTACGCTCATTTTCCTTGGTATTTCTTCTAGTCTGTTCACCAAATATCTTCTGTTTACCTTCATTCTCCATCATAACTCTCTGATTTTCTACTTTGAGTTTCTCAATGTTTTGTTTCAGAATGTTTAACCTGTCTCTTTTATCCTGAATAACTGAAAGTAAAGCAATGTATGTAATTAAATTTAAATGTCATAGTAAAAGTTATGCTTATGTTGTACTAGTTTGTAACACAACACAAAAGCATTGTATGAGCAAAGCATTCATTGATTTATTGCCTTTTGACATCACACCCAGGCAAAATATCATGATTCTGCAGTTACCTTGTTGGTTACTTTCTGCTTGTTGTTTCAGTGCTTTATGGGCATCTCCCAGTGCTTCCATGTCTTCTGTAAATCAAAGAAACATAGTGACAACATTTTGTTACAACACTACATGCTATGAGGGAAGAATAATTGCATAGCAAAGGTGTCTTTGAAAAAGTAACCTGTTACGATAACTTTGAAAGTCTGGCATGCTAATTTGAAACTTGTTTACTTGTGCTATATTTCCAGCACGTTGTTATTTGAAATTCTCATGTTGTGAAGAGGAAGTTTTCCCTTAAATGAATGCAGTACCACTGCACGAAATTGGGAGTAAATAATTCAAACTTGAAGCAAGCTTTTAATTTATCATTATTTTGTAGGACTTACAAACTCAGAAAGCAATATTTTGGCCTTAATTTTGACACCTGCTTTCATGAAATCACATGGAGTCACATACTAGATACAGAGTAATGACATGCTTTAACAAGGACAAATTTCACAAGTCAGTTACTAGTATCTTGAATTCCTGAGCAACATTGCTTTACAAAGTACCAGTGAAAAGGGACTAGGGTTAAATACAGACATTATTGCCTCTTATTATCATACCAGAGTGCTGTAAATCAATCATCTCCACTTCAATGAAACTCCAGCTAGATGTACATGGGGCATGACTGGCACCATTGGCCACATTTGCATCAGGTATGATGGGAGGGACCAGCATAACAACGACAAAGAAGTATAGCGAATCAGACCTAACAACACATGTTGGAGTGAGACCAAGACTATACAATGTACTGCCAAACATATCAATGCATAATTTTCTGGCAAAATTTTGAAACTATAGTGATTGAAAGAAATACTACAGATGGTAAATAAAACATAGTGGTATTCATAGAGCAAGTCATTATTTGCACTGTCCATTGTTATAAAACATAACAAATACAGGGATACTCGTTACAACTGTAAAGGGAGTAATGTTTACACGTTTTAAATAACATTATTTTGACGCTTAGGTTTTACATTCACGTAATTGAGTTCTATGCTAAGTTGTATACATTTATACCAATCAGTGAAAGCAAGTTTGTGAATAAATAATGAAATACTTATTTATAATGTCAAAACTCAATAAATTCGCAATAGTAAAAGTAAGTTTTTTCAAGAGAGTGAATTATCAGCATACAAATGAAATAAATGGTCAAGCATTTATCCAATCAAAGAAATGAATTCATGCATTAGTTCATTCATGGCATACATATACGTTGGATATAAACTTTCAACCTTTCAACAACACCTTAAGTCATTCAAGCTGAAAATTCTTTTTACTATCTGTGTTTCGTTGACTGAAGAAATTTATATGCATTGTTTTAAAGCATATTTTTTCTTGTTATGTTTGGTTTAAATCCCCACTGGTATGGTGCATTGTGATCTTCTGCTGTGATCACCAGAGAGAACACATCGAGCCACTTGACATTGAGCTACATCGAGTAACTTGGTTTACTATAATGTTCAAAATTCTTAAATAATTCTCAAAATTCTTAAATAAAAATATAGGGTCATCGACCTCAAAAATTGATCAAAATTTTGTTTTTTTAATAGTTTACAATTGGTTTCTATGGCAGAAACATCCCATCACATCTCAAAATTTTGTTCGGTGATCCATGCTAAAAAAATAATATGGCTGTCTTGAAAAATTGGAGAATTTTGAATACTAGTACAAGTTATCCATAGAATAATGTGTTTACATCGAATTTTCTAGAAAATGCTCAGGTTTTTTTGGAAACGCAACATTTTTTGAATGATTTACTGTGATCAATTTTTTTCAGGTTTTAATGGTAGCAAACATGACACATACAAGTTTTCCATGTTACAACATGTTTGTGTGTTTTAGGATTATCTTGACAATAATGATTTACCTGCCATGTTATGCATAAACAGTTTCAGCGTCAACTAAAAAGAAACAATTTTAAATCTTTTTTGAAGCCCATGAATTAATAAATGAATACATTTAATAATTAGTTTTTCTCAAAACTGAACTGGATGTGTGAATTAATAGAGTTTTACAATGGTTAGTGACCTGACAGGAAGCAAACAGTATTTTACCTTGTACTCTTTTTATCGTCAACTCATGATTTTTAAGAACGTCTTCAACAAGCTTCTCTGATGAGTCTTCATTGATAAACTTGTCTCTCACCAATTCAAAGTCCTGCTCCAGGCGCTTGCATTCCGCTTCTCCTTCAGCAGTATTCATTTTAAAATTGGAAACTGAAGAAAACAACATCCAGTAGAAAAACTAGTACACACATACATTAAAAAAACACTAATTATTAGTAATCACTATATAGTTGTTCCCCCAGCTAACATAACATCTCAACCAAAGATGTACTATAAAATATATACCACAAGAGAGGCAATGACTTATTTGAAGGACATGTATTTTTTGTAAATTATTTCAATCAATAAACTACTGAGCTAAAATGTTTTATGTGGTACTAATTGGAACACAAATTGGGTACAATGTTAGAATGCTTGTGCTTATGCATATAAAAACAGCATGCACTAAGATAAAATTCACTTTCCAACTAAGTGACCATGTATTTAGTTATTTAGTGACACAGGTAATTTTGACTCAATAATTGAATAATAAATTAATAAATAAAAAAATAATAATGCAGATCATGTGCCTTCATTAAGTACCGGTACATAACACATACAAAACAAGATAACAATAAAAGTTTGCAATGATTCACAAAATGACAAGGATGCAACAGTGATATTTATGAGGGGTGATATGAGATTATGATCAAATTCTGCAGTATACATGTATGCAGGGTTTGCGCTAGTGTCTCGGCAAGACAAGTCCCACTTACAAAATTTTAAGAAATAAGAATTTGACCCTGGATAACTTAATTAGAGACTGGACCCCTGAAAAACTGGATCCTTCTTCAATAATTTGAGTCCAGGAAGCAAAATATGGGGTTAACGCAATCCCTGGTATGTGTCAATCAAACGCTAGCCAATGGAATCAGTGACACTTGGCAGTGTATTAATCTGTCAAAATTATTCTAGAAGGCGATTTTAGGCATTATATTTGACAAAATTGTCAAAGAACAAAGAAAAAAACAGAAAAAATAATAAAATGTTGCCTGCCAAAAAAATAAGTTGTCTGTCAAGTTGACTGACTGGCAGGTACATGTACGCTTGGAAAGATTCGACTGGTAAATAGAAAGAAATTATCACCACATTCAAAAGTTTACACAATATCTATGTAATAAACAATTATGCATATTTGCAAGGAAACGTCTAGCAACACAGTCTGACAAGAAACACTAAATAGTTCTGCATTAGTATTCTTATCACACTATTGGCCTACTCTCAGCACACAAAAGGCATTCCCTTCATCTTAAAAAATATTTATAAATTTCACAATTCAAACTCAAACAAGAAGTTTCTATTGGCCGACTGAGTAACATTTTCAAATGATGTCGCTGCGCACTGTGCTTGTTGATTGGCTGGTTGGATTTGACTGCCATTGAGATTTATAAATATAAAAATGAAAAGAATGCCTTTTTAGTGCTGAGTTTTATTGCATATGCAGTGGATGTAAAACACAAATTTTATTACAATGAAAAAGGAAAGTGCCCCAAATGACCAGTAAATGTTATTGTTTTTTTCTTGGCCTAATATTTATTAATATTATTACTAATACATATACGATTATTATGATAGACAACTAGTTGTAATACAAGAGTCAGGCCAGCAATACATGTACGAAGAAAACAGGAGAAATAATATTGCCCTGAATATCGCCGACACTCCAATGCAATGGTGTCAACTTTCAACATAATGAATAAAACAAGATGATATTGAATAGGAAAGTTTCAACACGTCTCTACAATGCCAGCTTTGGCTATTATATTGCATTGTTTACGAACTATTGTTGACCAACGCTGTCAATTTAGCGTCGCGTCGCTTTAACGGGTCGCCAAGAGATAATAAAATGTGTTCAAACAATGTGTCATTGTTCGGGCTTCATCTACACGTAAATCAAGCAACCGTAACAACGCACGGAAATTGAACTAAAGAGATTTAACCGAAAAACGACGAGTGGGGCCAATGTTTGGGAGATTAGAAGTATAACGCACGTTTGTGCGTTGAATTACGAAAAGATATCAGAAGTTAGATATAGTCTGAACACAGAGCTCCATGGAACAATCAATAGATTTATATCAATACAGAAATTTGAGGGATAGCGATGTACTGTTGACCCTACATGTACGAATACTGCGCTATGTTGTTTTAACGCCACTCGATTGATTACACAAACCATTCACGCTAATTACTAGCTAGTATATGCAATCAACATTCAATAAGTATTTGCATAACAGACGTTGCTGTAAACTAAGTCAAGTATTAGTAAGAAAAACTTTTACCTGCAGATTACTGGTGTTCAAACTATGGCGGTCGTCTCTGTATACTATGTCCGAGCACAACCAATCACGAATCAGCGTGTCACGTGATGCACACATTTTGTGACGTTTTACACATATGATCTCAGTTCTTGCGCTAAAGTATCAGCTGACCGGAATTTATTGAACTTTTGCGATTTTTACCTCAAGATTATCTTTTAAGAACAATCAAATGACATTTTTATGACAAGAAGTTCACACAGAACATTTGTCTTCCGCGTTTTATCCGATATAGTGTAGCGATTGCGATTTTTTAACTACGTGGTTCTGTGTTCGCCGATGACGAAATTGTTATTTCGAACTGTCTGACACACAGGACACTTGCATTGTTTACCAATATTTCATCATACAAGTTTCAACCAGGTAGAATAATAACTCAATATGATGAACGAAGATGAAGTGTTGACAACTCTGAAAATTCTCATTATAGGAGAAAGTGGAGTGGGAAAGTCTAGGTAAGTGTTTAGGAAAGTGAGCCTCAAGGTCGACATTGTTTTGAATATTTCGACTGTTATGGTAGTACTATAGTCATTTGCGGCACAGGGTTGTGGCATATGTTACATTTGATGTGTTGAATTTCTCAAGTTATTATTCTATTTTTGAATCATGAAACTGAATATATGAATAAATAAATAAATGTATGAGATCACCAGGATGCATTTGTAATGATAGAATTGTAATAACATCACCCCACCCAAAAATTAATACCATGGGAAATAGTACCTCTGCTCTGTGCATGCGTAGATACTACAGGGTTGACCATTAGAAATTTGTGGGGGTGAGCACAAAGGCAGAATTAGGAAAAATACAGGAAATGAAAAGGGTTCCTTTTGCACCACCATCCCACCTCCAAGCCCCCCCCCCCCCCATTCAATTTCACATGTCCCTTTTAGATAACTATAGGTGTTCTTAAAAGGGGCATATATAATTAAATTGGGAGTGCTGGGAAGTAGGGGTAGGATTAGAGTTAGGGTTAGGGGTGCAAAAGAAACTCTTTCTCACAAAAAATCATAGAAAAAAAAATCCTGCAGGGATCCATAACAAGAAAAAAAAAGTTTACACCAAAATCTTGATAAAAACATATATTTTCACACAAAATTACAGTAAATTCATAAACACCAAATAAACATAATACTAAGGGAAGGAAAAATACATTTTCCAGTTTTTCTGCTAATGTCTCACCCAGAGTTTCTAATGGTCAACCCCTAAAGAGGGGGTTTATGTGAGTGGCCAATAGTAAAAAACAAATAGGAAGGCCATTGGGGGTAGGAAATTTGTTAGTCAGTTTAATAGCAATATAGCTTCCAAACAAGCGTCCAGTACTTTAATTGTCTGATATCTCTCTGTTGATGTGAAGAAATCATGTGATGGTGTTCCAATTTTAAAAGCAGGTGCCAGACACGTGATGTTCGAATGCTACATGCAGCGGTAGCAAAAGAACATGTGAAGTTACCTGTACAGATTTCATTTCAAAATTATAATCAATAATGATGTGGTATAAGTGAAATAGGTATATTTGAATTGATAACTTGTTTCTTTCCCTGTGCTAAATCATGTATAGTAATGTGTATCCTTATAGCAAAGTTGTGCATTATATTATTTGTTTCTTATTCTTCAGTTTACTGCTTCGATTTACCGATGACACATTTGATCCTGAACAGCCAGCCACTATAGGTATGTACATCATGTTATTCAAATGTGATGAAATGTTCATCCGCAATCATGTATACCCTGCTTGTAATACAAGTCTGTAATACATGTACCTATTAAATAATCTGCTAAAATGTGGATGACAATTGTTTTGGTATTCTTTAGGTATGTTCAACCTTCCTAATGCCAAAGTCAACTTTGATCAATTTTTCCAAAATAAAAATGCACATAATTTCGTTTTAGGAAATTGGAAATTTGAATAAAAAAATGCATCAAAAGTTGGCATCCCAAAGCATAAATAGAAATTAAAGTAACAACAATGTACTAGTATCCATTGTTACACAACACTAATTGTAAATACGCCAGTACTGGTATGGCCATTTTATGAGTGTCCACAAACTGTCATCAGTTCAGCCTTTTGAATATTTCTTATCAAAAGTGATTCACTGAATTCTGTTGGCCTGTAGAAAATAAAAAAAAACTAGTGGTCAATTGTCTCTGATCAGAATACTTACCTCAGTGTGCTCCATTAAGTCTCCAATAATCACAGTTTCTTCCTTTTTCTACTCTCTGAAATTCATGTGACTTGTCCATCGGCAAGGAACTGGAAGTTCACATTTCTTTAAAAAACCAATCCATAGGGACTCAATTCAGGCTACAGATCGTTCTTTCAATCACAGGTCACAACATAACCCCTCCTAAAATAAAATAATTTCTTCTTATTGTCTTGACTAAAAGATCACACCCGACATCATTCCCCCAAAATGTAGATCATTCACCCCCTTAATCCACTGAGTCAAGCACTGCTCCATGCATCCTAAAATCTCCAAAAATTGCAATTAGGTTAGAAGACAAAATTAAATTGTTAACTAAGCCTCTCTGATTCAGCAGCACACAAAAATCACTACAAACCTCAACTCTGCAAAACTACACTAATCTTTCATAAATTTCCATAAACCATTGTAGGTGCCTTGTCTATGTCATATAACCCATGGATTCATCAACAAATAAACATCTACCCCAGTAGATATTAGAATTAGAATAATATGTATCATTCATGCATTGCTATAGTTACCGGGTATTCTTAACATGGTGTCATTTTTACAGGTGTGGATTTTAAAGTCAAAACATTATCAGTTGAAGGAAATACTACAAAGCTTGCCATATGGGTAAGATGTGATTATTATTAGCAGTGTTGTAGCAAAAAATTCTTATATGTCAATATAACTTCCAATTATTTATCACATTTACTTCTTTCGTTATACTGTAAAAGGATTAATTGTTCACTGGGTTTTAAATTTGCTTAGTTCACTGACTAAGCAAAAATGCACTGAATTAAAACCCAGTGAATATGTAAATAAAGCATAGAACACATTATCTAAATGACGAAACCGTGAATTTAAAACCCACTGAATATGCCTGAAATGGTAAATCAGTGAAATTTAAACAGAGTGAAAATTAGTTATTTTACAGTACATAACACTAGAATGTTCTTCTAAACTGTGAATCTGATTGCTTTTACATAATTCATTTCAAGGAAGGAGCTATATCAGTTGACTCTCTGCTTGTATTACCTTTTATTGAAAAATACATCAGGTAGCATATTAAGGTGAATTTTGTCACTTTTAACCTGCAATCTAGTGGGAAAACACTCTCAGAAAACATTGAATAAAACTGCTGTAAATAAATACTGCAATATTTAAATCTCTTGTGAATTAAAATTGTTCCATATGTTGATACAGGATACTGCAGGACAAGAGAGATTCCGAACACTAACACCAAGTTATTACAGAGGAGCACAGGGTGTCATTTTAGGTATGTTGTGTTATCTTTATATAGCTTTCAATATGGTTATAAACTTGTTAAATTCATCGTTCGCTAATTATTCCAGTCGGTTCCAGGTTGATTCTGTCACTCTGCAACTAAACTCATAGTTGCTG